GTATTTTCCTAAACAAAGGCATTTCCCTCAGAAGAGGAATTCTGCTGCTACTGTTAAGATAATAAGTACACCACAGATGGTGCTTTCATTTCAAAAACAACTACAACATAAAAAAGATATAACATTTCTGTTTAATTATTGCATTTCTCTATCCTATGATTTGATGATTTAGTTTGTCAGTGGTGCAAATTAATATTCAAGCTTCTGCTGGAACTCATCTGTTGTTGATTTTGTTGTGGTGGTGGTGACGGTTCTAAACATAGGCAGGAGGCAAGGTGAGAAAAAGATACATCAAACTTCTTATCGATCTCGTTTTGGCAGATTCAAAGAGTTTATATTTAAGCCTAAATTTAAATAAGCATTTTCATATTATCACTGCCAGTTTTAGAGTGTTTCACTGGCACAATAATTGTATTATCCAACTGTACAGGAACTATCAATTAGACGAGGACTGCTTTGAGAAGGAAAGTAGGGCTCCTCTTTGATTCTTGCTGCTTTGCATTGGGGTCTCATATTGAAGGCTCACAGGCTTCCCCGTGGCCCCTTGACCGACTCAATGTTGAAAAACAAAAACTAAGAAATAGTTGCCAATGTTAAAAGGAGAGTATATGTAGAAACTTACATTTCTCACTTCCTTTGAAAAATCAGATCTTCTAAAGATCTAAGGTTTTTATTTTCACAGGAGAACAATGTGAGGGAGAGCTGCTTTTTGAAAAACTCATTGCTTCTACCACTGTCTTCATCTCCTCATCACAGCGCCTGAGTCAGAGGCCATTTGTCCTCATTATGGTGCCATGATCATGCCAGCTTGCCTCACTCCTGTATCTGCCTGGTCATTTGAGGCATTTGAGTTTGTGGCCTGTGCTGTGCACATTATCCCTGGAGATCTCATCAATTACAATTATTTCCACCTACTGGACTTTAAGTAGTTCTACCTATTGGACATTTTCATTGCAATCTGTCTTCCTAAAGCATACTGCAGGATTGAAGCACAAAGTATGACTGTGCAATTACTCTCAAGAGCATTTTTGTTTATGTTGGTCAATGTCACTTTTTTAGGTCCCTTATAAGGAAACACCTTTGAAAAGTTCATGCCAAGAAACTTCATTTTCAAAAAGGAAAATATTTTCTTTCTTGAATAATTTTTATAGCATATAGTCTTTCTCTTTTTTTCCTGGCTACCAGAAAGTTCAGAAGTCAGTGTGTCATAATCCTAGTAATATTTCTCCCCTTACTTTGTGTGTTCTGGTTCTCTATTTATAATATTAATACTCACTATTAACATGAACACACACATACTCATGTTCTACAAACAACTTTCAGGTTCATCTTGTGAGAGATTAGGGTTGAAAACATCAGTACAGACATGTTCTTAACTTTTCGAAATCATCCTCCACACTGACAACAGATTTGTATTTATAAAATACTAATCAGGCCATATTATTATTCCCTTACCTATTCAGGAATTCAACATGTCTTCCTCTCACTTATAAGAGATCTAATTTGTTTATTAGAGTGTCCAAGACCCCTTATTACATTTCTCAAACCTATCTTCCCATCCACAACATTCTCCAATTCTGTCCCACAAAGCCTGTATCTCAGTGATGAACTACTTACAGTTCTCCAAATGTACCAGGCCATTTCCCACCTCTTGCCTTTCACAATACCATTTACTCCCCATATAATGACTCTAGTATTTATAGATAAGTCACTCATAACAAATATATTGTTCTGTCATTTTTCCATGAAATGTACGACTACTCTTATTTATCTTGGTATATTTCGTGCTGAATCCAATATTTTGTGTAAAACTGTTTTCATTGACTAATTGTGTAGCTGACTTTTGGTGAGATTTTCACAGAATTGAAGTAACTGATCAGGATACATTTTTTGACTATAAATAATGAGAAACTTTTAAAGAATAATTATTGAGTGCTTACTGTATACCAAGTTCTCTTCTAAATGTGTAATATGTATTCATTCACTCGATCACCCTAACTACCTTATTGCCCTATGATTTTTGTCCTCATTTTAGAGATGAGGAAACTGAAGCCCAGAGAGATTGAGTAATTTCCCCAAGAACACACAGCTAGACACTGAATAAATTGTCTCCTGCATGAGACAGCATTTGATAATTCACACTTTTATGGGAAATATTGAAAGGAAATTTCTACATGTCATTAGGTCATGTTCCTAATTACAGTTAGTATAAAGTTTTAGTTTTTAGCCCCTAAGGAATATTTTTCAGAATGGGTATACAACATTTTTAGAAGAAAAACAAAAGTTATTATTTTCTGCAATAATAAAATGTTAATTTTTATTGAATCATACGGTCTGCCTCCACAGGTGATGTTTATCTGCTCCATTGCTTCCCATTTACATGTTGAAAGTGTATCACTGATGACACCAAATAGTAACTAACCTCCACTTCCATTGGTTATATTGGTTCTACAGGAAACGCTGGGGTTGAGACTTCAATATTGGAGGAACAGATTAACTTCTCAAAGTCTTGAGAAAATGTATTAGACAATAACATCTTTGAATGTAACATGTGCATGTGTGTGTGCATTAATTATTTAGCCACAAACAAGAAGGCTGAAAATATACCAGTCTCCACTATCACAAGCAACTGAAGGCAGTAGTTCTCAGTTGTGGAAGACAGAAAGAATCACCTATCTGTGAAGTCACAGGCACAGCTCACAGAAAGGTGTTGTGGAATTGACTTCCTTAGAGTCCTAGGATGTGAACATTTCATCTGAAAAGATGTAGTGTCAGAAGTCCTTAAGGTATCCACCGAGAATAAACTGCTTCCTCTACATCAAGCATCTTTTTCTCTTTCATATTCAACATAGTGGATTCAGAATGGAGACAATACATCCCTAAGTTGCTGATGGTATTGCAAGCACCATTCATCATGTTTTGGACATTAAGGCAGTGATGATCAGAAGGGAATCCTGTGGACCTACGTTTCTGGTGTTTGTAGCAACAGGATGAGCATCAGTGAGCCAGGTTCTAGGCAGAGACACCTGAAGCCCAGGAGGCGGAGCCAGGTTCCTCTGACTTCCTCTAAGTTACCCACTAGGTCGGCTCTTACCATCTCACTCATAGCTGATTTTGAGATAGGTTTTTAACTAGTAAACAATATGCTTAGATGCCCTGGCCTGTCTCAGTAAAAAGACAAGTGAAATGCCAAAGTCTAATCCTTTTCTTTTAGAAGGTATAATTTCAACCAATATATTTATTAGTCTTTTGGGGAGAAGCCAGATTTATAGCTTTCCATTTTGTTTTACTCACCATAAATGCATGAACATGTACTGTTTTATCAATCTTTTTTTTCTGGCGCATGGCCTGGACATTGACTCAGTGAGACTGTCATTTAGTAGTGAGAAAACTAATAGGAGGATATTTGGAGATGCAGAACTCAGTGGAAAGCCAGAGCATTTATTTGGATGGGGTCTTATTCTAATCTGAGGTAGCATCATCAAGAAGAAATAATGATCTCCATAAATTGCTCCAGGAGAGGGCTAAATCTGTCATTTGGCTATTGCAATTTCATTGAATTGATCATTGTAACTGTCATCTTTGTCTTGAAAAGCATCTGCCACTAACAAAGCCTGTTCCCCTTGGAAAACTATTAGCTCTCAGTGAATTAAAGTTATGTAGACACTGAATAAATTGTCTCCTGCATGAGAAAGCATTTGATAATTCACACTTTTATGGGAAATATTGAAAGGAAATTTCTACATGTCATTAGGTCATGTTCCTAATTACAGTTAGTATAAAGTTTTAGTTTTTAGCCCCTAAGGAATATTTTTCAGAATGGGTATACAACATTTTTAGAAGAAAAACAAAAGTTATTATTTTCTGCAATAATAAAATCTGTTAAAGAAAAATGAAAACTTTGTGTATATTTTTTAGTCCAGTGGTATTTTTTAAAAAGATCAAGGACAGTAAGGATCTATTTTCCATCTATATTTATATACATATAGAATAGCACAGTGTTAGACCTATTTAAAACTAGCTAAGTGTCTTTCATGGTTTATAACCAGACAGGTTGAATTTCAAATTTACTTTTAATAGAGGACTATCAAAAATGCATATGTAGATTGTACCTTTATCAATTTTTTTATTAATGTTGCATGGGATTATATTCATTATTATTCATTCCAAAGAAAGAAGTATATAAAAATCAGCTATGAATATTTCTGACATTAATAATAGTTGTAAAGTAGCAAGCTTTGTGCTGCTCATCAATTAATGTAGTCCATGGCATTGAGCATAGTAGTATTTAACAAACTGTATGCTTTCCGAAAATGCTGGGTGGTTTTTCAGTTGGAGCAGCTTTTGATGTTTATCTTCAAGAGTTCAAGGTTTGGAGCCCCATTGAATTATTTTCAGCTCCTGTCACTATGACCAGCTAACATGACACCTGACCTCATCTGGTATACAACAATAGCTCTAGTGGCTGGCAAGTAAGCCAGCTGATTGTCATGGTTTTAGTTTGAGGTTTCAGTTTGTTCCTTTGGAAGTAAAATGTATCACCCTACGATTTCAGTGATCCAAGGAACAACTGGCAGCTGTTAAGAGTATCGTATCACTGTTCCTATGGAAACATGTAAAATGGATTATAAAATATCTGAAATGTGTATTTTATTTGGTTCACTTTATTGTGAATATCTGATGCTACTTTAATGATCCCTTTCTGATTATACTCTGGTTGAACTGTCTTCTGTTTAAGTTAAATCTTTAGTTTGCTCATGTCTTCTGTTTTCTTATGATATACTTTTGCTTCTGTATATTCTCAACAGTAGCAGATTCTTCTCAATTTATTGTATATTTAAAAAATGTATAGACAATTATTGTGTGCAGGAAGGGGTATATCCGGTCCTCCATGCCAAAGGACTCTTTCACCATGCTGGGAAACGTTCTAGAGAATGAATAGAATGTACAGTGAAGATCAAGTTCCTTCCTCTAACCTTTGTTTCCTTTTCTCTCCACAGGAACTTTTTACCCCTGAATGCAAGTTTAAAGAATCTGTTTTTGAAAATTATTATGTAATCTACTCATCCATGCTGTACAGACAACAGGAATCTGGTAGAGCCTGGTTTTTGGGATTAAATAAGGAAGGGCAAGCTATGAAAGGGAACAGAGTAAAGAAAACCAAACCAGCAGCTCATTTTCTACCCAAGCCATTGGAAGGTGAGTATTATGTATGCATTATTATTACACAGACTTATTACACATTTTATTTTTCAAATTGATAGGTCTACCAAGGCTATAAGAAACCCTCACAAATGCTGGAAATGTCATTTATTTTGATCTGGGTGATGCTTGCACAGATGCCTACTTAAGTTATTCATTTAGAATTTGTGCCCCTTATATACTTTACCGTATTTGCATATGTATGTGTACCAGGAAAAATTTCTTCTCTGCCACTTCCAGTGTCTCAAATCCTCACTGCTACAGCCACTCTAACTCTTAGATAATTTAATTAATTAATTTAAAACAATTTTAAATATGTAATGATACAAACCTGTGATAAGTGTATTAGAAAAAGATAATACGTATATTAGAAAAAAATAAGTTTTGAGTGTGGAATCAAAAGTGTTTTCCATTTTGATAATATCTAGGTGAAAGTAATTACTTACTTGTGAATTATTGTAATTACAGAAAATTAAGAGATAATAGCTTGACTCTTAAAAAACTTGCTGATGTTAAACATCTGCTTTCAAACTGCGTAATTCTTCACTGTATACAGTTGTAGCATTACTTCTTTTACTAAAATAATTTATCCACATTCATTTGTGTACAGGAAGGGATATATCTGGTCATCCATGCCAAATGAATAGAAACTTCACATTTACTTCAATCAGATACCCAAAGAGCAGGCTACAAAGTTTTTTTAATTAATCAACAACATCTGCACCTCTCTCATTAATTATTCTGCCAAAAGTGTCATTTACTTTTATCTATGTAACATTTGAGAATTACAAAAATATTTGATTTTAGGCTATTCACATGTGTTTTCTATTCAAGTACTTTTGTTTACTCTTTTGCAGAAGATCAGATCTACAATAACTCAATAAATATTTTAAGCTAGCTTGGACAGCTCATTTTTCTTTTTGTGTTTTATTCCTACAGGAAAGACTTAGCCATCAAGAGAAAATGCATATTGTTTTCATAATGCATATTCTCTATATTGAAATAAAAAAATTAAAAAATTTGAACAGTCAATTCTTCATTATCTGTGAGTGTATAATTAAGTTTCAGTTTGCCTAAATTCAGAAAATCACTCTTGTTGGCTAATACTACTTTTATAATTTCAATGATGTTGACTTACTGTCACTCTTAATTATATTTTTCTGTAGAACAATTTATTGAAACCGAAACAGCCACCAGGGCCTATGTAGGAAAAGACAAATTATTCCATAGTCTGTAATATGAGTGAATTATCTCAGTATATAGTGGATCATAAGGATGATTAGAATAGAAAGAAGTTAGAGGATTTCCCTGTACCTCCCAAAAAACACATCAATGATACACTTTCATTGTTTTAAATAAATTTTGATAACATTGGACTCACCAATATTTAAATGCAAATAAAAAATGTAAAAATAAGGCCACAGATGCTCTAACAAGACCATGGTTTATTTGCCACCTTGCTTTATCTCTTTTCACTCATTTTATGTTTTGTTAACAGTTAAGAATTGACTAGATTTTTAGAACCTTACCTTTTAGCTGCATAAATGTAACAAAACCCAAAAGGGCTGTTATGTCATTTAACCGAGGTAAAATTTGGGAACCAGTTATTTTGCATATCCCATAGAAAATATCTGAGACAATAATGATGTAGTATAGAATGGTATTTGGTATTTCACTCATGTGTTTGTTATGTGTATATGAGTGTTTTGTGTGTGTATGTGTATATATATATATATATATATATATATGAGAAAGAGAGAAACAACAGTTTTCATTTCAAAAAATTAGAAGTACTCTAAAAAGAGTTAAGGGGGTAGGTACTATGACAGAGGTTATCACGTTGTTTACTTGATAGAGGAAAATTAATTCCAAACTTTCAAAACCCATACCGAATATAAATTATGTTATTGGAAATGTTAGGACAAATTAAGTATCTGGTTGATTATTGGTACTCTAGGGCGTTCATATCTTTGATACAACTTCACTACATAGAAAATCAAGGTCAATGCTTCATGCTTTTTCTCCTAATTTAATTAATAGTAGGAGTGAGGGATTGGAATGTGCTTTCAGAATACGCATTAGTTCCTTTTGCTACCTTAGCAAGTCATTTAATAGAAGCCTTGTGTATATTTGCAGTTTCAAGTATGTGTGCTGATGAAAACTCACGTGCCGCATTGATACTAATGGCCACATTCTACCCCCTTGAACATAGAGAATGCATATGGTAGTTCATCTTAACTAAACCTAAGAGCTCTTTGTAAAATACCTTAAACTTTCCAAAACCTGAAAAGCAGTTTGGGCAGCTCGAATGCACTTGTATTCCTGATGGCAGATGACTTTAATCCCTAGTTTTCCCCAAGCATTAGTCACTCTTATATGTCCTTTCCCGGGACTTCCAAAAATCATTTTCTAAAAAGCCACATGAACTACTGTGATTACGTCACCAGACACTATTTAGATAATTCCTCAGATTTTATTCAGGTAGTTTCAGTTGCTATCTTGCCATTCTGTTTCTGCCCCTATATCATGTCAATTATTAGATTTTTAATAACGTAGCAGAAAATGAGGTGTTGCCTTCGGCTGCTCAAGGGTCTCTTTCCATGATTGTAGGAAATGAACATTGAAATGATAATCTCCTGAAGGCTCTGGCTTATGGGAAGAGAGTTACTTGTTATTATTTTGTGTAGCTTTGAAGTTGACACTAGTATGACTATGTTGCTTTTGAACCACATGAGAGAAAGTAATTTAATGTTCTAGGATGTAAATACCGCAGCTCGCAAAGATTGATTGAAGTGAATGAGAAGTTCAGGTGTTGACATTAGTGTGCAGTGGAAGGGAAATCTGAGTTTTCTTTTTTGAGAATTAAGTTAAATGCCTGTCATTTTCCTATAGAGTGTGTGTGTGTGTGTGTTTTACATCATGGACCCACAAAGAAGCCATAGCTGCCATTTAAACCTTCTGTCCTACTCAGAAATCCATGCACACTCGTGTACATGTTTTAGGTATGCAGACCAGAGAATGTGAAGGGAGTAATGTCCTCTGCGGGCTGGAAATGATTGCTTTACCACAGGAATTCCTTCTCAATGGAATTGCTTTACTTCAGGGAAAACAGAAATGGGCAAACCGCAGTGGTCTGTGCATGTATGGATGGACCATTCTCACACCTAACCAAGCAATGTTTGCTTTTCCTCCTCCTTTCTTCCCATCACTAGTTGCCATGTACCGAGAACCATCTTTGCATGATGTTGGGGAAACGGTCCCGAAGCCTGGGGTGACGCCAAGTAAAAGCACAAGTGCGTCTGCAATAATGAATGGAGGCAAACCAGTCAACAAGAGTAAGACAACATAGCCAGATCCTCACAGGTGTTGTGACTTATTCGTCCTGAGCACAGTTGAGTGATTTATCCTCACCAGACATTCCTGCTCCGTGGCTGAAGAGCAGCAGGAAGTAAGCTAATGCTTACTCTTTGCTGTCTCCGAACTTCTCTGTTGCAAGTGGATAAATCTCAACCTGTTGCGCCCCCCACAACAAGAAGACACCTGGATAACCAGCTAAACTCAGACCATGGAATGCCCTACCAGATATGGAATGCCTTTTTAATATCTTTTCTGTGACTGTGACACTTCATGTGAATGACATACTTCACAAGTACACTCGATACCTTGCCTGCTGACAGCTACCCATAATCCTTTTTGAGTCCTGTTTCAGCGAAATCTATGTGTTTAAGTTCAATTTTGTAGCACACAAATAATACTGAGTAATTTCTAGTTAGACGCTGTAAACCTGTGCTATTATGGATTTCTCTTCTTCCCATTTTTACAGGGCTGCTCGCTCCACTGTCTGTGACCTTTTGCAGGGATTTTGTTCCTCTAAATCTTAAATGTTGCCGTTGGCTTAGGTCGGAGAGCAATCAGGGAATCAGGAAGCCTTCTAAACCTATTATTACAAATTGCATCTATAAAGATTAAGATTGTTGTCTCTGGCTCACGCTATGGATTAAACACACATATACGCTCTGTTCAGTAGCAGATACTGTGCTCCCAAGGTCGGCATTGCCTGGGTGGGAAAATGGCTCAAACACAATCCAGGGAAGCTCTCTATGATATGTGTTTGACATCCCCCTCTAGTTTCTTTGTGTGTGTGTGTTTTATACATATCACAAGCTTACTGGTAATGGTAACATTTGCCTTGCCCAGCGAGCAAGACCCACTGGTTTTTGAGAAAGTGGGTCCAAAGATTTCTGTAGGCCTTGTAGGCCTGATTAAGGTTCATTTTTCATCTATTAATTCTCATTATTTGGAAAAAAAAACAAAAAAAAAGGAAAACCAATAATTACAACCTACAAGAATTGCGCTACCTAAATCCATTTCAGATATACTCCGTCCTGTTTTTAATGAACCAAACTTAACGCCATCCCCGTTTCTGGCTGCGTTCCCCTCATACTCAGCAGAGCATGGGCAAGACGGCTGTTGTGTTCTTTCCTGCAGCAGCAATGCAAACGTTAGTTATAAATTAGACTTTAATATTTTTGGTGTTTAATGACAAGTTTTTAAACTGGACATATTAGGAAAAATATTTTTTTTAGCTCAGCATGCTGAGTCCGGTACTGTGTATTTCACCAGTACATGCCTCTAACTCAGCATTTGGGACTCCTGTTGCCCAGTGGCTGGGTTAGAGGTGCCTTGCCATGATCTCAGAATACAGTCTGTTGAATTATCCTAGATGAAAATAAAGGCAAACCAACACATCCATCCATCAGGATTTTGGTCCATTCCATTTCTTTCTTTCTTTTTGTTTTATTTTGCATTCTTAATTTCCTTTTTAATTTAATACTGTTTGTTTGAACTCTGAGCTTAGGGAAGACAACTACCAAGAAAGGCCAGGAACAGTTGACTACACAGTGAAGATTCCATGCAAAATGTTCAATACTGGATCTAAAGGGGTTCATACTAAACTGTTTGGGAATATATTTGTTAACTCTGTGTACACCTAATAAAATTCAATGTTTTCTTCTCAGAAGAGTTCATTGAGACCAAACTGAACCTCATTTATTGAAAATTATATGTGGGATCAATGTACTGGCCTCTTGTTATTCTTTCTATGTGGGAGGATGACCCAGTCATCATTTTCCCCATCTGCACTGTATTTATTGGGAAATTATTTTGTCACTGCTTTCATAAATCTTCATGACAGCCCTTGCCCAGCATTAAAAAATTCTGGCCTGCTTAGCTGATTAAAGGTTTAGTATAAATTTAACTGTTTATGCTTATTTCATTTTCATATTGGATTCTACTTGAATAAATAAAAAGTTAGCAGAATGTTTGAGTAGATTTATTGTCAATGATGCTAAATTACAAATATAACAAAATGATTCCTTTGGTCATTTTTGATTTGGTGTTATGTCATTTTGAAGCCTATTGTTTTTTAACAGGATCAGTTAAAATAACTTCCATTAACCAATTATTTTCAGAAAACATATATCCCATAATATGTGGCCAACTATGAGTAATAAACTTGTAATCCAATCAAATGGGCTTATAGACACTACTTATAGCAACACATCACACACACATACACACACGCGCGCGCGCACACACACACAACAAACAGCCCCAGCTGTTTTTGTGACTGATAATCAGCCCTACTTGCTGGTTTCTTTGTCCCCTGCAAGTCTGTTTATTGGTTTAAATTAAGATAGATAAGATTTATTTTTGTAAATGACTGAGATTTATGTAAATGTGTATCTCTGTTGTGTTTTATATATGGGGTGTCTATAAGGGCATTTATCCCTATGAAGGATGTCAAATACTTTCTTTTAATATATGTTTAGACATATTGCAGAGGGGTCCTTGTTATTTGTAATTGAGTTAGGTCATTTACTTTGTGTCTGGTCTCACCTGTTGCATGGGAAGAGGACAGCACTGATGAGCTGCATGTAGTAGGTACCTGTGTATCAAGAACTGTTGGTATGTATTGCTAATTTGCATACAAAGAGTTTGTCTGCATTGTACAGTTTCTGTGTTTAATATCATTTGTTGTATTCACAAATACAACATATTGAATAAAATATTTATATGAAGGCATATTCAAAAACATCAAACAACTTTATGTAACAAAATGGCATTGCATTACCCACCAATATAGAGAAATGTCATGTAAATAAGTTGGTAAACTCAATTTCCCCCTTTACCATGCCAAAGAAAATTTTAGCTCTTTGATGATACCTCTCTTGCTATTTGTTTGGGATAAGACTTCACCATTTTTTCCCCTCAGAAATTAAGTTTGCTGTTATTAAGTAAGTGCAATCTGTCACTACTGATGTTCCGTATAGTAAATCTGATGGAATTCATTTGTATTTAAAGACCGTGTGTTTTGTACCTCCATGTGCATATGTCCATTGTATCAAGTCTCTATAATACTCCATTCCTTCTGCATGCATATCTGGTGTGGGAGGGTTATTTCTACTGATTTGTTATAGTCGCTGATTGCTTTGCCAGTCCCTCAACAATGCTCGGAAATGTCAATTGTTTTGATATTTCAAGTGACAACATTTTTGTTTTCTAATATAAGATTGCTTTTTAAAACATTTTGCTACCACTTTACTTGGAAAAATTAGAGAAGACATGCAAATTCTCCACCCTATGTAAAGAGCAAAATGGAACTGAGCATTATTTCATTACAAATCCTGAAGAATTTGGAGATTCCTGCTTAAATGTTTGCTTGTCCTGAATGTTTTTGGGTAGGAGTGGCTTAAAGAGATACACAATGGGTCCAAAGGACTCCTGCTCCAGTTCTTCTAATAGTTTGCCTCTTGGGGAGCAAGCGGAGATTCTTTATCATACCTAGCCACTTGCTTAATGCTTTAAGCACTAAAAGTTATTTTTATCAGGATAAACAATATCAGATTTGGTTGTCTTTAAAAGCAAAAACCAAAAACTTCTTATTCTTTAAGTTAGACATGTATCACTTCATTTAAAATTATCCCCCTAATATCATATAGATCATTAACATTTGATACATAATCAAGAAGAGACCACATTGACTAACATTCAGTTGAGACGAAGATGAAAAAATAATTGAAATTTTTTTTTCCATTTTAGTTCAGAACAAGGCTATATCGAGGGAAAGCGATTGGGCTAAATCCTCAATATTTTTTTTCCAAAATGCAGGCATATCAAAATCCAGGATGTACATTGTCTTACTTTGAGGGAAATAGTAGTCATAGCTTAGGTTTCTTAGCCTACAATGTGGCACATAGGGCCTTTCACTCTCTTGAATACGGAGTAGGGTTTCAAAGTGTTGACAGTTGAGTCTGCAAACTAAGCCTGAGTTATATTTTAGTTTTTTTTTTTTTTGTCTTGGTTTTCACTAAGTCTAATTCCAATATCTACTGGCAGAGATTGTATTTGCATTTGAAGTACTGGAGGGCAGTACTTCCAAAGTGCTGTTGGAATCCAGATAAACTCAAGGAGCCCAGAAAGACAATGGGTATAATGGCTCTCCTCTCATGACTTAGCACTTTAGTTGACTTTTTTGAAAAAGTAATTGGGTAGAATACCTCAGTGATGATTTGCCAAACAAGCAGGGTTAGTGCCAACACCTTCTCTAAACTTGTTGCATCTCTTCCAATTGACATTAATCCCACAGCAGCTTCCTAAAAACAGGAAAAAGCCAATGAGATTTGCTTCTTTTCTCTCACCCATTACAAGTTTGTTCTTGCCCTGCTTGTTTTTAGGAGGGAGTTTCTATCGTAGAGTTGAAAAAGTACAAAATCATATTTAAAAAGGAAAGAGTCTATGTCTTTACATGTAACTATTTTATTTTTTCCAATCTAAATTCAATCACTTCTTAACAGATATATTGGTGTTTGCATTGCTGGCATCAAAACCACACATACATACACACACACACACATACACACAAAGAAACATAGGGGATAGAAATAAGTAAAAATAAAATATTTCTATTTTCAAAGAAAAAGCATTCCTTAGAGTTTAGGTACCATGAAACTTATGCTATAATACAGTTCCAGTACTATGGTTTCCAACTAAATGAACACTAGAACAGAGCTGACTATATTTTCATCTTTGAACTTTTAGTAGAGATGGAGTTTCACCATCTTGGCCAGGCTGGTCTTGAACTCCTGACCTCATGACACACCTACCTTGGCCTCCCAAAGTGCTGGGATTACAGGCATGAGCCACCATGCCTGGCCTATTTTCATCTTTGTCCTAAATTTTAGATGAGTCACATTTTGAACTTTATGGTATGATAATTTCTCCAATATCTAAATTCTTTTTCTGAAAAAACAAATGCTGAGGACATTTTTGACACTCTTACATGAGACTATGAAAAAGAGCAGCACTTTTGTTGTAGTTGTTGTTGTTAATAAAAAGGATAACATACAGAGGATTATAAGAAAAATAAGACACACCTGAGGTTTTCTGATGAGCCGTAGAAAATCAAGGACAATTCCAGTGGCGCTGAGGCTGACAAAGTACTGCCCAGCTGCTAGCCAAATCCACCCTTAATTTGTTTTTGTACGGCCTGGGAGCTCAGAAGGAATTTTTATTTTTTTACAGCTTTAAAGTATTAAACAGAAACCAACAAAAAAGAATATAAGACAGGGATGTATGTGGTCCATAAAGTTTAACTTTCTGGTCCTTGATGGGAGGATAACCGCTGTGGTAGGGAAATCCAAAGGTCATTTGTATTACGATAGCTAGATAATATAATGAATTCCAATGTCTGTGCATCAGCAAATACGTCATCAAAATTGCTACAAAACAATAATAATAGGTTGTTTGCAGCTTAAAATGTTTAGGTAGTGAAGAGGAAAGAATATAACCTACATTATTTATTGACTACTTATATTTCCCTCATTTTACAAAAAAGATATATCAATTTACATAATAAGAGAACTACAATATGGTTGCACTCCTTAATCTCAGGATAGAGATAACAATTTTATAAATCTATTGCATTATGAGAACATTGTTAGGACTATAAAACTCAGCATCAGTTAAATGTTCTCTTAAAATAATTTTCAATATTAAATTTTTAAGTAACTCAGTGGATGCATATTTTCCTTATTTTTGGAAATTTGACTTATAAAGTTTAAGCCATGACTCTAGAATATTTACATTATTAAAATAAAATTTCCAAGTAAAAATTTTCATTTTAAAGTAATACGGAAATGATTTTGCTACATTATTCTAGGATTTTACAAAATAATTCACCTTTAGAAAAAAAGTGGTTTTTTTAGCTCTAAACAATTACAGGTTGCCTAAACTAATGTGTATAAGTAGATTTACCTGTAAATATGTAAGGGAAGTCCCAATTATTGTACACTTTCATAATTCAATGTGAATTTCATACAAAGCAAAGTTTCACCATAAAGAAAATAAACATTTTGTTCCTATCACTGAGTGAATATTTGTAATTTCTATTTAAGCCATTTCTAGATTTTTTTTTTTGGTCCTTTGTGAGCTTCTGAGATTGGTGCCATTTTATCACAGTATTTCTCTTCTTGAATTCTTTGCATGACCTCAGGTTTCCAGTAAGTTATCCTTAGAAAAAAGAAAGTATTTTAAGGGAAATGGATGCATACTTCAGGCCCATTATATATGTAACTCAATATTGTCTTTTTAAAAGGCCACATTACCATGGAATAAATTAAAATAAAAAGTCAGATTTCTTGTACATATAACCCCTGCCCAGTTTTTAAAATGTGTTATTTCTAGAAATCTAAAATAGATCTCCCTAAATAACAATTCATTTTTAAATAAATTATCAGCAGGTAAATATATACTGACACAGAGTATAAACAACTTCTGTCACTATTTCTTTAAAATGTTAAATTGTACATTTTTCATAATTTTTTTCTTTAAGAGAATCTTCTTTGATGAGTTTAAAGTGAGAGTAGACAAATGACTTAGTGGCTAAATGATTTCATGTCAAATGACTTAATGACCAGTTTTTGCCCTTGATCCAGCCCCAATCTGATATTCTACTTCCTGTGTGTCTTCATTGTCCCCATATTAAAATGTTGACTGATATGGAATTCTGGAAAAATCTGATCGATTGATTAATGTGAATATGCATGTTTTCCTTAGATTCTAATATGGTCTTTATTGTGTAAGAATGTGGATTTCTAATAGCCATATAATTCAATGTTTCTCAATTTGGGCACCACTGACACATGGGGCTGGCTAACTCCTTGTTTGGGGGCTGTCCTGTGCACTGCAGGATGCTGAGCAGCATCCCTGGCCTCTACCCACCAAATGCCTACGACATACTTCCCCACCCCACCCAGTGTGACAATCAAAGTTGTCTGTAGATGTTGCCAAATGTCTTTTGGGTGGAAAAATTGCTCTCGTTAGGAACCACTTATGTTAATTATGGAAGAAACATTTTTTTCTAGTGTTATTTGCATCTGAATTTGCATAACTCGTTTCTAATAGGTACTCAGATTTCCTTTGTAATTCAGAATAGAAAAATATACAATGGTCTTTTTAACCTGTCCTAGTGGTGATTATACAGGATTTTCTTTGCATTTAAATGTTCTAATGGCCTAGAAAAAACAAGAATCCAGACCTCTCTCGTGTAATTGTTAAGGATATTCTGAGCCAAGCCAGATTTCACATGCATTTCCATTCCATCCATCCCAGCATTCACAGTTTCCACAGCTACAGATTCCATTCCCTGCAATAAAATACACATGGGTATCATGATCATGATCAAAACGTGCCAAATTTAAACATGCTATTATAAATAACAAGTGTCCACAATGAAATCATTTCATTCATCCTTGGTAGATTCTCTTACTGTGCAATGATGTTATTACTACATTTTATTAAGCAGCTGTGAGACATCTAATCTTTCAAACAATTAGTGGCATTTATTTGGTGCCACCCTTTACCGACCAGATAGTAACCATCGTGTATCACTCCAGCTAGGCTTTTAGGTGACATATTTTGTTTCCCTTATAGAGCAAGTTATGTCTGACTCATGAATAAATACTGAAAAACATAAAGCTCTTTGACATAACATGAGGCAGGCCAAGTAATCAGCAAAGAGAGTCTTATGTAGTAAGGATGGGCAGAAAGCAAGGGTCTAACTTAATGACGCTCAGAGTCATCTTTTACCTTCAGCTAGAGCTGAGGAGGACAAGTATACATGTCTCTGTTTCCTCTGTAACTTGGCAAAACAAATGAATTTATAATTAATTATGGGGGACTCAATAAATTAGGATAGCAGTGGCTATGACACGGCTGAGCCCTCTTTATACCTCTCCCCCATACACACATCCAGTTCCCTAAAAGCAACCAACACATCAACTAGTGGTACTCAGATTCTGTTTAAAAGAATATTCCATTCCCTATACCATGTTCAAAGTAAAATGTGCCAAGAAAATTCTTTTCTGTGTTCAATATATAACTAGATACATGTGAGTTTGAGGTGGGGAGGTTACTTTGTGGAAGTATTCCAAATAATCACAAAATTTAGCTTCATTGTCTTGTATTCTTCTACGCCCAGGAATAATGTGACGGCTTTTTCCCAAATGTCCACTTTGCCTTTGGTAGATATGCCATATTCACAGTTGGCCCTGTTGGTCCGGCCACCTAAAGCATTGCATGATGAGTGTCCCTTAGCTCTGTAACAAACTGTGGCATAGAGCAATTAGAAAAGGTTAATACTGCACCTGTACAAATGAGACCATCATGTTTGTCGCAGTCTCTGTCATCACAGTCACAGAATTCCCCAGAAATATACCATTCTTCAGCAGAACAAATGCACTTCCCACAATGACAAGAACCTGAAATTACAAATGCTATTACTCGCCATCACTGTATAACTAAAGGTTTCCATCTCAAATACAATCTCGTTGACACACTGACAACAGGCTTCTAATAACCCATCATCTAAAGGTAAAAGTTTATTGAATGGCTGGTTTCTCAGAGGGGAGCTTTACTTACTGTAATTCATAAAGGTCACCCAGGAAAGCCTTCATTATGGATCTAGACAGTTGCAATTAGCCTTGAGCAAATGTCCCATGGCCCAGTCTGGTTGAAATGTCAATGAGAGCAGGATGGGGTTGATTCTTATAGATGGTCTTCCAAAAAAGTATTCAAAAACAGATTTTCCCCCCTGAATTGAATCATATTTTTAAAGTGCCTCTTCCTTAAAGGAATTGAATAGGGAATTGTATTAAATTAGGTTGCATTTCTAATGAAAACAACTACTAAAGTATTGTGCTTATGATTTTGGATTTTCGTTTACATGATTTTCTCGGAGCAGGAGCACACCTGCATATTGGGTGGCTAATTAAAGTGCTAAAAGTGCACACAATCACTCAGTACATTTGCCTCGTGAGACCGTATCCTCAGGATGGTCATCATCTAGGATAGCTCAAATTACTCCCAAAGTTCATCTTTTATGAGACTCTGGATTCAACTCTTTTTCCCTCCACCCATTTCTCCTCCTACCTAATTAAAACACTTCCTCTTTGGTTATTTAAAATATCTTTATTTACTGAGTAAAAAATTTTATTAAAGATATATTTAAAATAAAAGAAAATAAATAAGATGAAGGGCATCCAACACAGAAGTAAGTTCTCTCAGTTTAAACAGCTTTTCCATGACAGGCTAAAAACCCTTACATGGAAAAACTGCCTCGACGACAACAGGAAAGACTTTACAATGAAAAAGAAACAAATAAAAAGGACGTCCTTTTCCTTCTATTTCCTTGGGTTGGTTGTTCTTTCCAAACATGACTTTCCTTTACTAAAAGGTGGCTATCAGTAATTCTTTAAGTCAAAAGTCATGTTGAAAGATTGTGCAGTTGAAAAAAGTATTTTGACATATGTAACAAAACTGTAGAATTGGTAAGTTCAAAACACATTTAAAAGGGACAAGAATCAATCATTAGTGCTTCTTTTAAAACACAGTGATTAAAAATGAGTTAACAGCCTAGGTGATTAAAGTGATTATGGAAAAGGAGTTGCGGTCATCACAGATATCATGAAAGGATTCAGGTTCATGTGTCTCAACTACGTGATATTTCATATCAGGGAAACTGTATATGCATTTTAGCTGCAAAACTCCCCAAAATCCAAATTAAATGTTTGCCATTTCTTGACACACTTCTCAAGGTAAGAGTGCAGTCAGAATTATTTATATTGTGACAATTGTGTTTTCATTTATTTTTAACTTCTTGAGTAGCTATGGCATAATTCTATTTAGTCTTGACTTGTTTTCCTGAGGGTCCAGGTTGACTTGCATGCTCTTGAGCAAAATATACACATTTTCTCAGTTTTAATAACTGACTGACATCCCGGTGGTTTCTCAGGACCCAGGAAGGTGCTCCTCCCAGGTCAGTCTGCAAGGGATGCTGGTTCCCTTGTGATCTCATCAAGGTGAGGAATTTTCTGATTTTAGAGATTTCTTTATCCTAATTTTAAAGACTTTATTTCACATTTCTAGGCATAAAAATGTGCAGCACTCTACTGCTTAACAAATGGATAGTGATACATCTGCCAACAAAGACCACATGGAGTACTTCATTGACTATCAGAGTCGTTTCCTCAGAAGGCACAATACTTAGTGTTTTATTTACATGAGTGGAGGAAGATTATTTGAAATATTTGACTGTTTTGTTTCTAAAGTAGTGTCTGATTTTATATGCCCATAATATTCATATATACACCAAGGATATCATTTTATATATGTCACAATTCATGAAAAGATCTTATATTTCATCTTCAAACTTATCCTCTGGCCCTGGAACTATTCTAATCACTGCTCTTGCTTCTGGAATGCTTAGCTTCATGCCCTAGTAAAGCGTTTTCAGAAAACTGGTAAGCTCAGCTAAAGTTAATATGGCATATATGGATAGAGCATTTGATGAGTAAATTCCAGTTCTGAAAGTCTACTAGTCGCTGAAATACTTAGAATAAAAAATGAGGATTGATTTTGTATGTGTCATGAAACAGTAGCTTTTCTAGGTCAGCATTTTCCCAGCTGTGTTATTCTTTCCTGTTTGTCAATGCTCAATGCATCTTAGAGGTAGGGAATTCTTCTACTGCTTGTGAAACTAGAACTAGATAGCATATAGTAATAACACAGTGTGAATACTTATTAGGACCTATTATAGCACCTTCCTTGTAGCACGCTCTAACTGTTTTCTTCCATAGTAGGGGTCAAATTGTGCCTCTCTTAAACGGGAAACACATAGGGAGAGGGTTCCATCAGACAGACGTAGATTGCATGACTATCAAGAGGGGAGAAATGGTTCAACTCAGCTGGCCAAGACCCACTCACACCCCTGAGACCCAGCCCAGCCAGAGAACGGCTGGCTGATCTTGGCAGGAGTTTTAGGGCGGAGAGTTCATCACCATAGCACCACTAATCCATTCATTTTCTTTCTCAATATAAGGACCCTTAAGAATGTTCCCATCTCCCTTCTGTGCATTTTTGCTGGCTTCCTTCCCTGGGGAATCAGTCACATTTTCTCATGTGTCTTCAGGGCATCTTAGGACATAGAAAGGGGAAATAAATGAAATTTTACCTTCAAAGATGAGAATGGAAGAGAGAATAAAGGAAACTGCCCTGGACCTCACAGGCAATAAACAAACAGTTAACTGAAGACTTCACTCTGATTCAATCCACTCTTCTTTTTAGTGATCTGCCTATCTGTGATGTATCTCCCTGCAAAAACTTTCATATACAGTAGTTTAAAAATAAGCTGTTTCTTCCTGCAGGTCTGACTGCACAGACATATTGAGCGAGGCAACTTGAACACCAGGCTGAGGCTGATTTTGTGGAGCATCTTTCACTCTTTCTCTTTTTGGGGATGTGGGACAGGTCACGGGTGGGTGAGTGAGTGTATATGTTGGACTTCTTTGGGTGATGTGGGACCCAAGAAGTATCACTGAGAGTTTAAGGAGACAATTAATGACGTGTTTACAGCCATTGTCGCACAACAGCATCTGTAAGAAGATTGGATATGATTACCTGGATCTAGCTTGAAGTAATCAAGGCAAAGATAAAATTGTGTAGTCTGGGATCCAAATAAATAAATCCCCAAGTGAACAAAACAACCCACAATGGATTATATCATGTACTTTGCAAAGGTAGCTAAGCTTAGGGGAGACCCGGCACGGCACTAACCTCATCTCTCTTGGTTATTCACAAAAACTATTTGAGTCTGAGGGCAAGGCACCTTTGTCCGTTGCCCATTCCATTACTAATGTTGGACTTTCTTTTTCATTCAAGCCTGACAAAATGCTGCAACCTGACATCCCAGCAGGCAGTTTTCACTATTGTACTAACTACTCCATCTGTTATGAAGGTCACAACAATGTATCTTGTTTTAACTTTTTCTATGGAGTGATTTATTGTCTTGGCTATAAATTTGTAAAGAAATAAAACGCTATTTCTTCATCGTCTCCTGAGGTGATGGCTTTATTGACGCTCATGGGAAGTGCACGTTTCAGCCTTTTGGTGGGTACAGGCCACCAAGTGATGCGCCATGGTGATCCTGTGCCCACTGCTCAGATCTGTCCCATAATCAAATAAAGAAGGACTCTGAATATCTTTTGTGACCATCAGGGTGAGGGACTTCTTCCATTGACAAATTTGAGAAAAGTTATAGAATATTTGGACAAGTCCATGAGATTGATCAAGAAATACATGGCCCCCGTCAAAAAATCAGAAACAAGTTTTTCTTTTCCATCACCACGTTAAAGCCCCTTAGTCTATTTCATGCGTTACTTTTCCTGTGGTTCGCAGGGTGGGATGTGGGGTGGTGCTCCCCACTGGAACCAGGAGTAACTGTGGCATCCCCATTATCCTCTGTGCCTACCATACATCACAGTTCCGTGATCCTGGTTTTATCCCCTTTCTTCATCGATAATCCAACAATGATGTCTCCATAATAGGAGAAAAGAAGGGAGATCACGATCAGCTGCTGCCAAAAGTCCGAAGGCCCATCCACTAACATGAATGTCAAAATGTGCAGCCTTGGGGCAGCTTTCATATTTCCTTTTGAGTTTAAAGACTCCCAAACTCTCTATCCATTGAAGGATAAACAAATAGTTTAGACAAATATGCTTTCAACCCTTCATTGATCTCTGAATATATTGCCACCACCCAAAGCAAACAATTTGCAAAGGTATTAGCTAGAGAGACTCTTTGGCTTTGCTTTGTTTTGTTTTGAGGAAATGCCTTTAAGTCAATATTTAGTCATCCTATTTTTTTCTTTGTATTTTCTACATTTACGATGCTGAAAGATGAGAATCTTTCCTAGGGCTGTAATGACTTTCATAAGAATGTTTATTTCTTGAAAAGAAACAACTCTTGTTGCATGACCTTCAGTTTAGGAAATGGAAGACTGCTATTTGTTACCCTGGAGGGTATGACTTTGTGTAGTCTTCCTGTACTCGCAGTTGGACGCGTCTTAAGGACGACCCGCTTATGGGCAGTGTTCATGATTCAATAGTGAGTGTAGTAAACACATAAACACAAACACTAGTTGACTTTTAAAATAAACAAATATAAATAAGCACACTAGTGTTTTAATACATATGGGTATCCTCATTCAGTAGGGAGCTTCTGCGAAAAGCTTCTATTCTTATCCCAATGACAATGCTATTACAGAAAACCAAGTCAAAAAGTATCTAAACTTAAGTGCTCTATGTCTGAAGCAATGCTCAGAGGAAAAATAAATCTGATTCAAAAACTATTCATTCTTGGTATCTTTTTATACACAGATCATTCCCTTCTAATCTGATAACATCTCTTTTATTCCCTTCTACTTCTCTCTTGCAGTTTAATTCCATCACTGCCTCCTTTTCTGCTTTTCTTCATTAATCTCCTTCTCCCCAATTCTTTCCCTTGTTTTCTTCCTTTTAACCTTTCTTTCTTTTTGGTTCTCCCAACACAGCTTGAATTCAAGGTAGGTGTTTCTAGGGGCTGAGGCCCCCTGAGAACAGAACTGGTGGAAGATTTGTTTGGGGCTTGAAATTAGATTGAATTAATGAGAGAACAAACAAAGCACAAAGCGATTGCTTTAAACTCATTTTCCACCTGCCTGCTGTAATGGCATTAGGTTGAAGGCATGGCCTCCTTGCCTGAGCATTATAAACACAAGTGTTGAACACAGAATTCCTGGAAACCAAGGACACTGTCATCTGTTGAAGTGAACATGTTTGCATTCATTTTCATCCCCCTTCTTGGCACCATAGATAGTCACAGCATCCATCCTCTTTGATGTCTGAAGTTCTGCCAAAAAGGCTCTTTCAACCTGATAGCATTGGTCTTGCGTACGAGGCAAAACAAAAGCTACTGTTTAGGGGACAGAGGGCACATCTTGCTTCAGAGACCTCCTTCCCTTATGTGCGTGGCAGCCTCACTGGTGTGGTTCTTTGGCAACAGGATTCAGTGTCTCTAGTACACTTCTGCTTTGCTGTCTTCTTCAGAAAGTTATTTACATGGTCATCCTGACCAGCAGTAAATGAATCTTCAGCCAGAGCTGTGCCCTGTCTGAAAAAAAAGTGTGTCTGTTGTGTAAAGAGGATACTGAGCTGAAGAGAAGAGCTAGGAAGCCCCACAACTTCAGTTTCTTTGAAGCGCTGCTCCCCAGACATGAGGTGAGAATCTTTCAGGTTCCCTGTCTTCCCAGTCACTAGCAAAGAACAAAATGGCTTTCGAGATGATGCCATATGCACTACAATGGCAGGATTTTAAAGTCCCTTCAAGAATAGTATACAGAAACATCAAAATCAAGGTGTTCAAAATTTAATCTATTACTATTCTTTACTCAGGGTAAACCTCTTCCAATTTTTCTGTGTGTGTGTATGTGTGTGTATATGTGTGTGTGTAGGATGGGAGATGGGGAAGGCTTGCTTTTTCCTTGAATATGTTTCTGTGGCAAATGTTTTATTGGGTTGGTGGCTTCTCTTCAACCAACTTGTAGGTTATAACGGTTTGGCAGGCTTTTGTTTTCTTTAATTATTACATATATATGTGTGTGTGTGTGTGTGTGTGTGTGTGTGTGTGTGTGTGTATATATATATATATATTTTTTTTTTTGGAGATGGAGTCTTTCTCTGTCACCCAGGCTGGAGTGCAGTGGTACGATCTTGGCTTACCGCAACCTCCCCCTCCTGGATTTAAGCTCTTCCCCTGCCTCAGCCTCTCAAGTAACTGTAATTATAGGTGTGAGCCACAATGCCTGGCTAATTTTTTGTATTTTTTTAGTGAGTAGATTTTTGTATTTTTCACCATGTTGGCCAGGCTGGTCTAGAACTCCTGACCTCAAGTGATCCACCTGCCTTGGCCTCCCAAAGTGCTAGAATTACAGGCATGAGCCACGGTGCCCAGCTGAACAATCACCTATTTTCTTATATCAGGCTGCACATGTTCACTTGGAACAAATGGTGATTTTTAGGTCAAAGAAAATTCCTCAGACTTGTGGGATACTACCCTCCCCCATGGCTTTTCTTTCCTTTTTAAAAAATTAAACCAAATTAAACTAAATATTTAGTATCCTTTTGGTCTTCTCACACCTTTAATCCTCCCCTGATCCACATACAGCTAAATAATTGAGCCCCAGAAGTTCCCAAAGTCATACCTTTGGGCAGCTCAGATGCTAGTGGTTACTTTTCTGCAGTTCTGAGCGGTGTTGTTTCAGACATGAGCCCAAAAATCATTCTTTTGCCTTTTTCCCCCTTTTTTGGGTCCATTTAGTACCCGGTATATTTTGTTGTCCTAATTTCTTCATAAAAGTATTAATTCTATTTCATTCAGCAATAACTTTGCATACAAGGATATTTTTGCATGAATCTTCTCACATGCATTTCATTTTCTTAGATCCAAAACTTCATTTGGTTAATCTTCAAGCTTCAAGTTGGGTACAGCAGAGGACATAGTGGCTTGCTTTCATGCAAAGTTCAGTCTGGGAAAGACAGTTGCTACATGCTGTTCTAAAAATCATGTGTCAGAACAGGAATCGAGTCCAGGCTCCAGCAGAGATACTCACCCTTCCCCGAGCACAATATGCCATCTGCTGATTCACACAGATTCTTGCTTTGTTCTTCCGTCATGTTACACTTCCGTGGATGTTGGCAGAGCTTTCCAAACCATCCTCTCTCACAAATGCAGCGACCACAGGAACATGTGCCGTGGCCTGTGAAGCAACCACAGGGAGGGAGTGAGAGGAGAGGACGAGGAAATTACCAGCTGAAGCAGAGAGTTTTAAGAAAGAAATGTGTAAACCATAGGATCCCATTTCCCATCCAACACATTTTTCTTTATGCATAGTCAATTTGGCATGTAATTGTTTAAAAGAACTTACAACAGAGTTCTAGCTTAACACAATAAATTGAATGTAGCATAGGAGATGGACTTGAGGGAAAGAAATCTTGCAATAATTTAAAATGGAATTATACCACCCTTTCTTGATAGAAAATACTTCTTCATTTGCATTTTTATCAGTATGGAGTCTTAGTGCTATTCTTCATTGCACACACCATGGCACTCAGACCAATTTGCAAGGCTAGTCACATTACCACTGCTGGCAGTATTTATTGATTGTTCTCCTATTGCTTACTAACAAAACAAAAGGTTAACTTTCATACAAATGGCATTTGGCACTATATTACTTTATCTGTATACCTCTCTGCTTACTAATAACAACAGATATAAGTGGAAGTTATAGTGTCTCTCTATTATTGCATAAAAGTTGACATCAGCTTGGATTCATGTTTGGCACATTTTTTCTGGTTTGGTTCCTGACATTGGTTCCTGGTTTTTAAGATGTTTATCTTTTGGTATACATGCAACATTCTATTTGTGACATCTATATAACAGGATGTACACCTGTTTACTTGCTTGCCACCAACATACCATTAGATTGCATGATACTCCATTTCAATTTCTTCCATTTCAGTTTCCACTCAACCCTTTATTCCTTTTCCTGATAAGTACATTGCCTTACAACAGGGTCTCTCTGAGTCAACTATTTGCCTAGCAAAGAGTTACTGAGTATCTGTTATGAACAGAGCATTGTGCTAGGCAATAGGGGATACAAAACCAAGCACCATGGACAAAGTGGTCCCTGCTCTTCTTGCAGGTACAGATACGCTCATCATTCACACTGATAAGCCTCTCTGAAGCTGTTGACACCATTCTCTCCTGACCATTCGCTCTGGCAGGACCCTCAGGAGGGAACCTTGCTCCATCTGCTCCCCCTCCATTCAGCTCTGCACAGGAAGGATGAGTAACCAATGCTTAATGCTTTGGAATTAATTATTATAATTATTTTTTCTTTTTTTTTTAGGAGTGATAGGATTTTAATTTCTACAGAAATCCCTCTAACAATTGAGTGGAGAATGAAATAGATGGCTGTGAGAATTGGGAGCATGTACCTGTGCAGATTGGTGGAGAAGCCCAGGTCCTGGCATGAGAAATATGGTAAAAAAATGAAGTAGAGTAAACGGAGTGAAGGACACTTGGGAGAATGCAGATTGGTAGGAGGTGGTGAGTGGCTGTGGTGAAAAGAAGGTTTCTGATCTCAGAGAGGTAAGCAGAAGCCTCCTGGAGAGGGTTTCTTGGAAAACTATTTTTTTTTTGTTTGCTTTTTGGTGTTTTTTTTTTTTTTTTAATTAAATAAGAGAGATTTTTTCCTTGGGTTATACCACATCCCTGCCTCACAGGTCATGCAACAAGTGCCTCCCGACAGCCAGAGAAGGTCTGGGAGAGAGGTTTTTTTAATCCAGCAGATGTTGCTCCCCTGGAGAAAACCGGGATCCTGAAAGAAAGACAGGGTACTAGGAACTTCTGACATTCTTTTAAAGAAAATTCTGGGAAAAACATCAGATACCAACGGGGGACTATTAAATTTGCAAGAAAAATGTCGCTGCCATACCTTTAATGTGCACTCAGTCAGCAAGTGCTCTGGCACTTTCTAAGGCTGATGACTGTTCTTGTCACACAGGTTAGCAAAAAAGGAAAAAATAAAATAAATGAGGTAACTTTGGTCTTTTTCACCTAGCTTGATTTAAGTGCTAAGTAAAAACAAACAAAGAAACAAACAAAAAACCCCAAAACCGAAACCATTCAAGTTTAAAAGTAGCACGCATGTAAACATGTGACCGATAACTGGCTCAGCCTGAGGAGCTAAGGGAAGTCTACGAAGTGAAAACCCACCATGCAGTGTGACTTGGCTTTGCAGAAGATGAAATAAAGATATAAATGGAGATAACACGTGGCGATGTTTTAAACTTATTCTCAATACAACCTTGAAGTTTGATATTACCCATTTTACAGTCAGGCAACTGAGCTTCAGAGAGATTAAGCCCTGTAATTTGCTTCTCAATCACATAGTTCAACCACACAGTATCGGAACTGACTCTAGTTCCTCTGATTCCAATGTCTACACTCTTCCCAAAGTGTTGCTTTGCCTCTATATTTCACTTTAGAAAGTGAGACACAGCAGGCTTTTCTTAATTCTTGTCTCTTTCAACCACCACATCATTTGAAGGTGTATATTTGATATTCACAGGCACTTTCTCCTTGCAAGTCTCTTCTCTATTGGCATGCCACAAAATTCTCTTTGCCTCATTCAACACTCCTCCTTTGTCTCTGTTTATTCTTCTACCTTTGTTTTGTTTTGTTTTTACTGAACCAATAAGTGCAGGTTTTCACCCATTGCTTATCTTTAATCATCTTTTTTAATCTCTCCATAATTTCTCTTTTGAAAAATCCATAAATTTTGGGCTTTCAGATAACCACCAAGACCACAGTGCTGTATCTCCAGCCCCTGATTTTCTCCCACATTCCCCTCTCATGATTCCACACTTTGTGTTCTATTAGCATCCCCACTTAATACCTCCAGAGCTACATAGGCAGGGTCCGACCCGCAGACCCTGGCGGAACGACAGATGAACAAATGCTCCCAGACACAGGTATCCAGTGAAAGAGTGGGCTAGGGGACCAGGCTGCTCACAGACACCAGACACCAGACACCAAGGAGGGTGCTGTAAAGAGTCAGCAGCCGTGGCCCTGACAAGCTGGCACTGCGGGCATTTATTCAGTATAGATTTAATGACAAAGGCTTTGAGTCAATACATTTGTGGGCAATTTACATGGTCACTCCTCTCCCTGGAGAGAGTAGTCCTGCACGCAGAGGATTAAAGGCCAGGTTCTAAGGCCTAAGTTAATTTAGATTAGTTTCACTGGATAAGAGAATCTGGCTGCCTTCAGCCAAATCCTTTTCCAAAACTTCTGTAAAACCTTCCAGCCTTCCAAGAAGGTTTTCATCTTCTACAATTTCTCCCACCACCCTGACCGACCGATCTCCTACATCCATATATGATTTTCTTTCCAAAAGCTGCTTTTTTTGGTCTTTCTCATTTATTTTAATGTAACATCTGTTCTTTCAATCAACCAGTTCATGATGTCTTGAGTCTTATTTGAATTTCCCTTACTGCCCTCATCCAGCGTGTTGTCAAGTCTTGTGGAAACCACCTCCAACATTCCCACTCACATCACCATCACAACATCGGAGAAACTTTCCTGTCATATCTCTCCAATACTCTGACTTGTAGATTCCTACAGCACAACTTGATGCTCATCGCAGCCTTGATATCTAGTCCTGTATAACTCCCTGAAGCTCACGGCATACAGTTTACGTACTCTAGCCTTTGTTATGTTTTAGCTTCTTGAAACACAAGAGTCCCAAGCTACATTTCCAATCATATTCCTTCTGTTCTCTCTTTAACCAAACTGGCCATTCGTTGTTTCCTGCACATTTGTCATGCTTTTCTGACCTCATTTTTGCAGAGGTAGAAGTACCTTTCCCTTACTATACACATTCAGGTTCTGAGTAATTTTCAAAGCTTAACAAAAAGTGACTACCCTTCTGTGAAGATTTTCCTAATATCCCTAAGTGGGACTCATTGTCTCTCCTCTAAATTTCTATAATATCTTATTTTTTACCACCTGTGGAACTTTTTTGACTTCCATCTCATGGTATATAGTTATGCATCAAAGGAATCCACTACTCTACTATGAATTTTCTGAGTATTACTTCTGTCATCACCATAGTCTTATAGACACCAGAGTGCCTAATGCAATGCCTGAGACACAGTGGGTCTTCAAAAACTTGGAGGAGATCGAGATTGTCTTTTTCAAAACATCTTTCTCATTTTTACCCACAAACCAAACTGTAGAGTACAGCCAAGTTAGAAAATGAGTAGACAGCCCCTTAACAGCTATCCGCTCAATGAGTCATTGTTAAATTGAGTACATCTTGACTTCTCCATGAAAACCAAAGTCCACTTAAAGTCCAGATCTCCTGAAAGAGTTAAGTAAAAAGTTGTCCATCTTTGGAGACAGAGAATCTGTTGTACGAGAAACCAAAAATAAAGAGAAAGAGAGCTTCTAGTACCAGCTCAATTGGACTATGAACTTCTCAAATGCTCATGTTTCTTACTGACCCTAGGTTGGTAAGAATTGTCAACAATTTGACGTAACTGAAATCATTTAATCTGTATTGCACAGAAAAATATTGTCTTTTTTTTTGTTTTCTGTCTTCTTTTTTTCCAAATTTAATTAGTGCTATATGGAAAACGAAAATACATCTTATGAAAACTTATAGGATACAGCAAGAGTATTATTTGGAGAGAAATTTACAGTATGAATGCAATCAGAAGCAACAAAAAATATAAAATAAATGATGTATTCTTTCACTTTAAAACACTAAAGAAGAGCAATATAAAACTATATTGGTCATAAGAAAAGAAATACAATCAATTCCATGACAAATCAATACAACTGGAAGTAGAAAATCAACAGAGCAAATCAATAAAACAAAAGTTGGTTATTTGAAAAGATCAATAAAATTGATAAATATTAGGCCAGGCTAAACAAGTAAAAAGAGAGAAGACACAATTGTTTAAAATGAAAAATAAAAGAGAGATCATTATATCTTACCTCATGGACATTAAAAGGATAACAACAGAATATTATAAACAATGACTTGTCCAAAAATCTGATAACCTGGATCATTTGGACCAATTCCATGAAAGACACAATCTATTAAAACCCACATAAAAAGAAACAGATAATTAAAGTAGACCTATAGCTACTTTTTTCTACAATATTTTTTATTATGGTAAAAGAGAT